TGATTTTGATAACTTTTAATGGCCACGGGGTGTAGATTGGCCTGAGCAAATGTGGTGCCGGTGGAACGAAAGCCTTCGGAGGAGTTAGCGAAATTCCAATGTGTGCGGATCGGCAAAAAATGCGTAATAACCCTTTAACCGTAATTTTGACAGATACGGCCGCACTGACTTTTTTGTACATCTTATTGAGATACATATGTGTGTCAATTTTTGTGTCAATATGACAAAGCGTACAGGCGTGACAGTCAATAGTGTGAATTTCCACCTTAGGGGGCGCTATGGAGCCATTTTGCATTTTATTGTTTGGGCGACTTCAGAATATCGAATTTTTCACCAGGCCCGGTCGTCCTGCCAAATTTCATGAGTTTTCGCCAGTGGGAAGTGGGCCATTTTCCAGTTCAAAGGGGAGGAAAAAGAAGAAAGAAAGAACTAGGACCCCGTTGGGGCACTGGCGGGCCCGAGCCGTGTCGCGTCCCCCCCCCCCAACGTGCTGCCTCCCCGTCCCATTTGTGTCCTCTGGCCATCGCCCTCTCTGGTAACGCCCATCACTGCAAAGACCCTTTTCCTTCATCGGCGTTTGCTGTTCTTCCTGCCAGTGCGTGTTGCTTTCACTTACACTTGCCACAGCCAGCCTCGTGAGTGCCTAGCCTATTGGATATCACTGTCACCTACACAGGACAGTCATTACCTTTCTATTAATACTTTGTGTTTTAATTTCACATTAATTTCCATATTGTATAAACGACTGGAAAAAACTTGAGCCCCTGCCCCTGTATAATCATGTGCATGTCTCTGTTCTAGCTCCAAGGTGAATCTTCACTGCTCATGTTCTCCTCAGAAGCACTCACCTCACTCCCCTCAGGTTACTGTACACATGCACCAACTGCCTGCTTCAGGTTTGGATGGAGCTTCATGGTTGTCTTTTGGAGAAATGACCAGTCAAGTTGTGTTTGAAATTTGATTTTTTTCAGGGGCAAAAGGAGCCTCTGCATTCTTGTCAAATATGTAAATAGCATGTTTTTGCAGGTGCTAAAAACCAGACTCTGAGTGTGTGTGTGTGTGTGTGTGTGTGTGTGTGTGCGTGTGTGTGTCTGTGTGTGCGTTCAAGTCACATGACATATTTAACCGGATGTAGCTGCAAGACGGAGCCTCGTTGACTCTCCGTTTCAACTTATCTCAAAAGTGAGGACCTCAACCTATATACCAGTTTTTAAATTGTGTTGATAGGCCAAATAAAACCAGAGTTATGATAAATTATGTCCGCGATACTTTTTTTCTGCTTATTTTGATCACGTTCGGCACTCGATCGCGCTGTATGAGACAGGAAAACATAGCATGCAGACATTAGCGACAGCTCTTACAGGCGGAAAAGGCTTGCCAAAAGAAAAAAAAACACACCACAACATCTCTCCTATTGGTGGAAAACTTCACCACAACAACCAATCCAAAATTATATGGTGACTGATTGACAAGGGGCGGGCGCTTACGTTCTTCCTGCAACATGAGAAGGGAGGGAGGGACTCTCAGCAGGGATGCAGTCTGGGACACGTAGTTGCAAACCTAGCGACTTTGTTGTTAGATTCAATGACTTTTCAGACCCCCTAACGACTTTTTTTTAGAAATAAAGGGACTTTTATCGACTTCTGGAGTTTAGAGACTCTGACATGAAGCAGGCTTTCCTTACTGAGGAGTTAGCAACGCTGCTAAGGGTGCAGAGCCACACATGCGCTCAGAGCTCTGCATGGGAGACTGAAGCTGACAGAGCTGCAGCAGTTAGCAGGTTTCACCCTCAGAGACCACCAGGGGTTCATGTTGAGGCATTTTAATTTTTTTTTTTTTGTGCCATAGACACTGTCAGCACAATCTGCAGTTACACTAACAAAAATGCTGCAAAAAACAAAGAATTATGGAAAAATTACACATGGACTGACATACAGGAGGATCTACACAAGTTTTTTACATCATGTTTTACATCATGCATCATTTACATCATGTTTTTTTGTAGTGGCATAAATAAAAAGTGACATTTGTGAGACTATACAGTGTTTTGTAAATAATTTTACAAAGAACGCCTGGGCCATTGCCTGCATTTTGATGTAAATAGAGGTAAATCACTATGTTCTTTGTTAAAAATTTGCATATGTTTTGAAGTTTACAATTTTTATTTGAAGTTTAAGTTTTAAAAACAGTTCATCACACATATTTGTGGTTTTCACAGTAAAAATGTTACTTTTTTCCACTCGGATTTTATGTTTTGTGTGTGAATTTGGGTCCATTGTGTAAATTCAGTATGTCAACATGATAAAATAACTGTAAATTCGCACAGGTGAGGTTGTGCTGAAAAAAATGATACCAGGCAAGGCACGTGATTGTCAAATTTTGTGTCAATATGACAAAGCGTATAGGCGTGAATCTCAACAATATGTATTTTCACCTTAGGGGACAAGAAAAAATGGACTTTTTTCTCCTGCCATGGGGGGCGCTCTTTTGGGGAGTAAAACTTCCTTCACAAATGTGTTGATGGCTGGACATTGCATCATCCTAGAAAACTTGGAGGCCAGTGAGGACAAAAATAAAAAGTTATAAGACTTTTAAATATGTGAATTTTAGGGTTATCTTTGGCGCCCCCTAGAACCTAAACCGTGGGGTGCAGCGTCATGATTTTGATAACTTTTAATGGCCATGGGGTGTAGATTGGCCTGAGCAAATGTAGTGCCGGTGGAACGAAAGCCTTAGGAGGAGTTAGCCACATTCCAATGTGTGCGGATCGGCAAAAAATGCGGAATAACCCTTTAACCGTACATTTGACAGATACGCGCGCATTGACTTTTTCGTAGATCTTATTGAGTTACATGTGTGTGTCAATTTTTGTGTCATTTTGACAAAGCGTATAGGCGTGACACTCAACAATGTGTATTTTCACCTTAGGGGACAAGAAAAAATGGACTTTTTTCTCCTGCCATGGGGGGGCGCTCTTTTGGGGAGTAAAAATTCCTTCACAAATGTGTTGATGGCTGGACATTGCATCATCCTAGAAAACTTGGAGGCCAGTGAGGACAAAAATAAAAAGTTATAAGACTTTTAAATATGTGGATTTTAGTGTTATCTTTGGCGCCCCCTAGAACCTAAACCTTGGGGTGCAGCGTCATGATTTTGATAACTTTTAATGGCCACGGGGTGTAGATTGGCCTGAGCAAATGTGGTGCCGGTGGAACGAAAGCCTTCGGAGGAGTTAGCGAAATTCCAATGTGTGCAGATCGGCAAAAAATGCGAAATAACCCTTTAACCGTAATTTTGACAGATACGGCCGCACTGACTTTTTTGTAGATCTTATTGAGATACATGTGTGTGTCAATTTTTGTGTCATTTTGACAAAGCGTACAGGCGTGACAGTGAATAGTGTGAATTTTCACCTTAGGGGGCGCTATGGAGCCATTTTGCATTTTATTGTTTTGGCGACTTCAGAATATCAAATTTTTCACCAGGCCCGGTCGTCCTGCCAAATTTCATGAGTTTTCGCCAGTGGGAAGTGGGCCATTTTCCAGTTCAAAGGGGAGGAAAAAGAAAAAAGAAAGAAAGAAACAAAGAAAAACCACTTGGGGAATAATAGGGCCTACGCCCGGCTGCTCTGCAGCTGGCTCGGGCCCTAATAATAACAAAAGAAGGAAACTACAGGAACAAGAGGGCTCTCGCAGCTGCTTAGCAGCTACGCTCGGGCCCTAAAGAAACAAAGAAAAACCCCTACAGGAATAACAGGGCCTACGCCCGGCTGCTCTGCAGCTGGCTCGGGCCCTAATAAGAAGAAGAAGACTAGGGCCCCGTTGGGGCACTGGCGGGCCCGAGCCGTGTCGCACCCCCCCCCCCCCCAACGCGCTGCCTCCCCGTCACATTCATGTCCTCTGGCCATCGCCCTCTCTGGTAACGCCCATCACTGCAAAGACCCTTTTCCTTCATCGGCGTTTGCTGTTCTTCCTGCCAGTGCGTGTTGCTTTCACTTACACTTGCCACAGCCAGCCTCGTGAGTGCCTAGCCTATTGGATATCACTGTCACCTACACAGGACAGTCATACTTTGTTTTTTAATTTCACATTAATTTCCATATTGTATAAACGACTGGAAAAAACTTGAGCCCCTGCCCCTGTATTATCATGTGCACGTCCCTGTTCTAGCTCCAAGGTGAATCTTCACTGCTCATGTTCTCCTCAGAAGCAGTCACCTCACTCCCCTCAGGTTACTGTACACATGCACCAACTGCCTGCTTCAGGTTTGGATGGAGCTTCATGGTTGTCTTTTGGAGAAATGAGCAGTCAAGTTGTGTTTGAAATTTGATTTTTTTCAGGGGCAAAAGGAAGCCTCTGCATTCTTGTCAAATATGTAAATAGCATGTTTTTGCAGGTGCTAAAAAACAGACTCTGAGTGTGTGTGTGTGTGTGTGTGTGTGTGTGTGTGTGTGTGTGTGTGTGTGTGTATCCTGCAGTACTCTGAGAAGAATAATAAGCATATTTCTGAGGTGAATTTTGAAGATTCATCTGAGAGTTAGGTTTGATTCGATTCGATTGACGCTCCCCACGTTCAAGTCACATGACATATTTAACCGGATGTAGCTGCAAGACGGAGCCTCATTAACTCTCCGTTTCAACTTATCTCAAAAGTGAGGACCTCAACCTATATACCAGTTTTTAAATTGTGTTGATAGGCCAAATAAAACCAGAGTTATGATAAATTATGTCCGCGATACTTTTTTTCTGCTTATTTTTGATCACGTTCGGCGCTCGATCGCGCTGTATGAGACAGGAAAACATAGCATGCACACATTAGCGACAGGTCTTACAGGCGGAAAAGGCTTGCAAAAAGAAAAAAAAAACACACCACAACATCTCTCCTATTGGTGGAAAACTTCACCACAACAACCAATCCAAAATTATATGGTGACTGATTGACAAGGGGCGGGCGCTTACGTTCTTCCTGCAATATGAGAAGGGAGGGAGGGACTCTCAGCAGGGATGCAGTCTGGGACACGTAGTTGCAAACCTAGCGACTTTGTTGTTAGATTCAATTACTTTTCAGACCCCCTAACGACTTTTTTTAGAAAGAAAGGGACTTTTATCGACTTCTTCTGGAGTTTAGAGACTCTGACATGAAGCAGGCTTTCCTTACTGAGGAGTTAGCAACGCTGCTAAGGGTGCAGAGCCACACATGCGCTCCGAGCTCTGCATGGGAGACTGAAGCTGACAGAGCTGCAGCAGTTAGCAGGTTTCACCCTCAGAGACCACCAGGGGTTCATGTTGAGGCATTTTCAGTTTTTGTTTTTTTTGCCATAGACTGTCAGCACAATCTGCAGTTACACTAACAAAAATGCTGCAAAAAACAAAGAATTATGGAAAAATTACACATGGACTGACATAGAGGAGGATCTACACAAGTTTTTTACATCATGTTTTACATCATGCATCATTTACATCATTCATCATTTTTTGTAGTGGCATAAATAAAAAGTGACATTTGTGAGACTATACAGTGTTTTGTAAATAATTTTACAAAGAACGCCTGGGCCATTGCCTGCATTTTGATGTAAATAGAGGTAAATTACTATGTTCTTTGTTAAAAATTTGCATATGTTTTGAAGTTTACAATTTTTATTTGAAGTTTAAGTTTTAAAAACAGTTCATCACACATATTTGTGGTTTAATTTCACATTAATTTCCATATTGTATAAATGACTGGAAAAAACTTGAGCCCCTGCCCCTGTATAATCATGTGCACGTCCCTGTTCTAGCTCCAAGGTGAATCTTCACTGCTCATGTTCTCCTCAGAAATAGTCACCTCACTCCCCTCAGGTTACTGTACACATGCACCAACTGCCTGCTTCAGGTTTGGATGGAGCTTCATGGTTGTCTTTTGGAGAAATGAACAGTCAAGTTGTGTTTGAAATATGATTTTTTTCAGCGGCAAAAGGAAGCCTCTGCATTCTTGTCAAATATGTAAACAGCATGTTTTTGCAGGTGCTAAAAAACAGACTCTGAGTGTGTGTGTGTGTGTGTGTGTGTGTGTGTGTGTGTGTGTGTGAGTGTGTGTGTGTATATGTGTGTGTATCCTGCAGTACTCTGTACTCCTGCAGTGGCCAAAAAGACTTTTAAGAATGTGGATTTTTGGGTCATCTTTGGCGCCCCCTAGAACTGCAGTACTCTGTACTCCTGCAGTGGCCAAAATGACTTTTAAGAATGTGGATTTTTTGGTCATCTTTGGCGCACCCTAGAACGTAAACCGTGGGGTGCAGCGTCATGATTTTTACAACTTTGAATGGGCATGGGGTGTAGATTGCCCTGAGCAAATTTGGTATCGGTGGGACGAAAGCCTTAGGAGGAGATAGCCACATTCCAATGTGTGCGAATCGGCAAAAAATGCGAAATAGCCCTTTAACCGTACATTATACAGATACGCGCCTTTTGACTTTTTCGTAGATCTAATTGAGATACACATGATTGTCAATTTTTGTGTCAATATGACAAAGCGTTCAGGCGTGACACTCAACAATGTGTATTTTCATGTAAGGGGACAAGAAAAAATTGACTTTTTTCTCCTTCCATGGGGGGGCGCTCTTTTGGGGAGTAAAAATTCCTTCACAAATGTGTTGATGGCTGGACATTGCATCATCCTAGAAAACTTGGAGGGCAGTGAGGACAAAAATAAAAAGTTATAAGACTTTTAAGAATGTGGATTTTGGGTTATCTTTGGCGCCCCCTAGAACGTAAACCGTGGGGTGCAGCGTCATGATTTGTACAACTTTTAATGGCCATGGGGGGTAGATTGGCCTGCGCAAATGTGGTGCCGGTCGAACGAAAGCCTTCGGAGGAGTTAGCGAAATTCCAATGTGTGCAGATCTGCAAAAAATGCAAAATAACCCATTAACCGTACATTTGACAGATACGCCCGCACTGACTTTTTTGTAGATCTTATTGAGATACATGTGTGTGTCAATTTTTGTGTCAATATGACAAAGCGTACAGCCGTCATGTGAATTTTCACCTTAGGGGGCGCTATGGAGCCATTTTGCATTTTATTGTTTGGGCGACTTCAGAATATCGAATTTTTCACCAGGCCCGGTCGTCCTGCCAAATTTCCTGAGTTTTCGCCAGTGGGAAGTGGGCCATTTTCCAGTTTAAAGCGGAGGAAAAATAATAACGAAAGAAGGAAACATGCAGGAACAAGAGGGCTCTCGCAGCTGCTTAGCAGCTACGCTCGGGCCCTAATAATAATAACAAAAGAAGGAAACATGCAGGAACAAGAGGGCTCTCGCAGCTGCTTAGCAGCTACGCTCGGGCCCTAACAAAAGAAGGAAACATGCAGGAACAAGAGGGCTCTCGCAGCTGCTTAGCAGCTACGCTCGGGCCCTAACTAGGGCCCCGGCGGGGCACTGGCAGGCCCGAGCCATGTTGTGCCGCCCCCAGCGCGACGGCCCCCCCCTTCCGATCGCGTCACACTCAAGGTCCAAAGATGGTGTGCGCACTTGTCTGTGGTCATTTACCATTATAATGAATGGGAGGCGCAGTTTCTACCAAAACGCTCGCTGCAGAAAAACTCCATGTCTTATTTGAAAAAAGTCTGGACCATGAGTGAGGGCACAAACACAGCTAGGATATATCCAAATGGCAAGTTGCTCCTCCTTTCGGTTTTGCCGAGAGAGCGATGCGTTTAAGCCATTGAGCGATGGGCAGGAACAACTTGACTTTTTCTCCGGCCACGGGAGGGGGCGCTCTTTTGGGGAGTAAAAATTCCCTCACAATTGTGTTGATGGCTGAACATTGCATCATCCTAGAAAACTTGGAGGCCAGTGAGGACAAAAATAAAAAGTTATAAGACTTTTAAAATTGTGGATTTTTGGGTTATATTTGGCGCCCCCTAGAACGTAAACCGTGGGGTGCAGCGTCATGATTTGAATAACTTTTAATGGCCATGGGGTGTAGATTGGCCTGAGCAAATGTGGTGCCGGTGGAACGAAAGCCTTCGGAGGAGTTAGCGAAATTCCAATGTGTGCGGATCGGCAAAAAATGCGAAATAACCCTTTAACCGTACATTAGACAGATACGCGCGCATGGACTTTTTTGTAGATCTTATTGAGATACATGTGTGTGTCAATTTTTGTGTCATTTTGACAAAGCGTACAGGCGTGACAGTCAATAGTGTGAATTTTCACCTTAGGGGACAAGAAAAAATGGACTTTTTTCTCCTGCCATGGGGGGGCGCTCTTTTGGGGAGTAAAAATTCCTTCACAAATGTGTTGATGGCTGGACATTGCATCATCCTAGAAAACTTGGAGGCCAGTGAGGGCAAAAATAAAAAGTTATAAGACTTTTAAATATGTGGATTTTAGGGTTATCTTTGGCGCCCCCTAGAACCTAAACCGTGGGGTGCAGCGTCATGATTTGAATAACTTTTAATGGCCATGGGGTGTAGATTGGCCTGAGCAAATGTGGTGCCGGTGGAACGAAAGCCTTCGGAGGAGTTAGCGAAATTCCAATGTGTGCGGATCGGCAAAAAATGCGAAATAACCCTTTAACCGTACATTTGACAGATATGCCTGCACTGACTTTTTTGTAGATCTTATTGAGATACATGTGTGTGTCAATTTTTGTGTCATTTTGACAAAGCGTACAGGCGTGACAGTCAATAGTGTGAATTTTCACCTTAGGGGGCGCTATGGAGCCATTTTGCATTTTCTTGTTTGGGCAACTTCGGAATATCAAATTTTTCACCAGGCCCGGTCGTCCTGCCAAATTTCATGAGTTTTCGCCAGTGGGAAGTGGGCCATTTTCCAGTTCAAAGGGGAGGAAAAATAACTAGGGCCCCGTTGGGGCACTGGCGGGCCCGAGCCGTGTCACGCCGCCCCCAGCGCGACCGCCTCCCCCACCCGATCGCGTCACACTCAAGGTCCAAAGATGGTGTGCGCACTTGTTTGTGGTCATTTACCATTATAATGAACGGGAGGCGCAGTTTCTACCAAAACGCTCGCTGCAGAAAAACTCCATGTCCTATTTGAAAAAAGTCTGGACCATGAGTGAGGGCACAAACACAGCTAAGATATATCCAAATGGCAAGTTGCTCCTCCTTTCGCTTTTGCCGAGAGAGCAGTGCGTTTGAGCCATTGCATAATGAACAGGAAAAACTTGACTTTATTCTCCTGCCATGGGGGGGCGCTCTTTTAAAGAGAAAAAACTCCTTCACAAATGTGTTGATGGCTGGACATTGCATCATCCTAGAAAACATGGAGGCCAGTGAGGACAAAAATAAAAAGTTATAAGACTTTTAAATATGTGGATTTTAGGGTTATATTTGGCGCCCCCTAGAACCTAAACCGTGGGGTGCAGCGTCATGATTTGAATAACTTTTAATGGCCATGGGGTGTAGATTGGCCTGAACAAATGTGGTGCCGGTGGAACGAAAGCCTTCGGAGGAATTAGCGAAATTCCAATGTGTGCGAATCTGCAAAAAATGCGAAATAACCCTTTAACCGTACATTTTACAGATACGTGGTTATTGACTTTTTCGAAGATCTTATTGAAATACACGTGTATGTAAAATTTTGTGTCAATACGACAAAACATACAGGCGTAGCACTCAACAATGTGTATTTTCACCTTAGGGGACAAGAAAAAATTGACTTTTTTCTCCTGCCATGGGGGAGCGCTCTTTTGCCGAGTAAAAATTCCTTCACAAATGTGTTGATGGCTGGACATTGCATCATCCTAGAAAACTTGGAGGCCAGTGGGGACAAAAATAAAAAGTTATAAGACTTTTAAATATGTGGATTTTACGGTTATCTTTGGCTCCCCCTAGAACCTAAACCGTGGGGTGCAGCGTCATGATTTGAATAACTTTTAATGGCCATGGGGTGTAGATTGGCCTGAGCAAATGTGGTGCCGGTGGAACGAAAGCCTTCGGAGGAGTTAGCGAAATTCCAATGTGTGCGGATCGGCAAAAAATGCGGAATAACCCTTTAACCGTACATTTGACAGATACGCGCGCATTGACTTTTTCGTAGATCTTATTGAGATACATATGTGTGTCAATTTTTGTGTCATTTTGCCAAAGCGTACAGGTGTTACACTCAACAATGTGTATTTTCACCTTAGGGGACAAGAAAAAATGGACTTTTTTCTCCTGCCATGGGGGGGCGCTCTTTTGGGGAGTAAAAATTCCTTCACAAATGTGTTGATGGCTGGACATTGCATCATCCTAGAAAACTTGGAGGCCAGTGAGGGCAAAAATAAAAAGTTATAAGACTTTTAAATATGTGGATCTTAGGGTTATCTTTGGCGCCCCCTAGAACCTAAACCGTGGGGTGCAGCGTCATGATTTGAATAACTTTTAATGGCCATGGGGTGTAGATTGGCCTGAGCAAATGTGGTGCCGGTGGAACGAAAGCCTTCGGAGGAGTTAGCGAAATTCCAATGTGTGCGGATCGGCAAAAAATGCGAAATAACCCTTTAACCGTACATTTGACAGATACGCCCGCACTGACTTTTTTGTAGATCTTATTGAGATACATGTGTGTGTCAATTTTTGTGTCATTTTGACAAAGCGTACAGGCGTGACAGTGAATAGTGTGAATTTTCACCTTAGGGGGCGCTATGGAGCCATTTTGCATTTTCTTGTTTGGGCGACTTCGGAATATCAAATTTTTCACCAGGCCCGGTCGTCCTGCCAAATTTCATGAGTTTTCGCCAGTGGGAAGTGGGCCATTTTCCAGTTCAAAGGGGAGGAAAAATAATAATAATAATAACAAAAGAAGGAAACTACAGGAACAAGAGGGCTCTCGCAGCTGCTTAGCAGCTACGCTCGGGCCCTAATAACTAGGGCCCCGTTGGGGCACTGGCGGGCCCGAGCCGTGTCACGCTGCCCCCAGCACGACCGCCTCCCCCACCCGATCGCGTCACACTCAAGGTCCAAAGATGGTGTGCGCACTTGTTTGTGGTCATTTACCATTATAATGAACGGGAGGCGCAGTTTCTACCAAAACGCTCGCTGCAGAAAAACTCCATGTCCTATTTGAAAAAAGTCTGGACCATGAGTGAGGGCACAAACACAGCTAAGATATATCCAAATAGCAAGTTGCTCCTCCTTTCGCTTTTGCCGAGAGAGCAGTGCGTTTGAGCCATTGAATGATGAACAGGAAAAACTTGACTTTATTCTCCTGCCATGGGGGGGGCGCTCTTTTAACGAGAAAAAACTCCTTCACAAATGTGTTGATGGCTGGACATTGCATCATCCTATAAAACATGGAGGCCAGTGAGGACAAATATAAAAAGTTATAAGACTTTTAAATATGTGGATTTTAGGGTTATCTTTGGCGCCCCCTAGAACCTAAACCGTGGGGTGCAGCGTCATGATTTGAATAACTTTTAATGGCCATGGGGTGTAGATTGGCCTGAGCAAATGTGGTGCCGGTGGAACGAAAGCCTTCGGAGGAGTTAGCGAAATTCCAATGTGTGCGAATCTGCAAAAAATGCGAAATAACCCTTTAACCGTACATTTTACAGATACGTGGCCATTGACTTTTTCGAAGATCTTATTGAAAGACACGTGTATGTAAAATTTTGTGTCAATACGACAAAACATACAGGCGTAGCACTCAACAATGTGTATTTTCACCTTAGTGGACAAGAAAAAATGGACTTTTTTCTCCTGCCATGGGGGGGCGCTCTTTTGGGGAGTAAAAATTCCTTCACAAATGTGTTGATGGCTGGACATTGCATCATCCTAGAAAACTTGGAGGCCAGTGGGGACAAAAATAAAAAGTTATAAGACTTTTAAATATGTGGATCTTGGGGTTATCTTTGGCGCCCCCTAGAACCTAAACCGTGGGGTGCAGCGTCATGATTTGAATAACTTTTAATGGCCATGGGGTGTAGATTGGCCTGAGCAAATGTGGTGCCGGTGGAACGAAAGCCTTCGGAGGAGTTAGCGAAATTCCAATGTGTGCGGATCGGCAAAAAATGCGAAATAACCCTTGAACCGTACATTTGACAGATACGCCCGCACTGACTTTTTTGTAGATCTTATTGAGATACATGTGTGTGTCAATTTTTGTGTCATTTTGACAAAGCGTACAGGCGTGACAGTCAATAGTGTGAATTTTCACCTTAGGGGGCGCTATGGAGCCATTTTGCATTTTTTTGTTTGGGCGACTTCGGAATATCAAATTTTTCACCAGGCCCGGTCGTCCTGCCAAATTTCATGAGTTTTCGCCAGTGGGAAGTGGGCCATTTTCCAGTTCAAAGGGGAGGAAAAATAACTAGGGCCCCGTTGGGGCACTGGCGGGCCCGAGCCGTGTCGCGCCACCCCCAGCGCGACCGCCTACCCCTCCCGATTGCGTCACACTCAAGGTCCAAAGATGGTGTGCGCACTTGTCTGTGGTCATTTACCATTATAATGAATGGGAGGCGCAGTTTCTACCAAAACGCTCGCTGCAGACAAACTCCATGTCCTTTTTGAAAAAAGTCTGGACCATGAGTGAGGGCACAAACACAGCTAGTATATATCCAAATGGCAAGTTGCTCCTCCTTTCGGTTTTGCCGAGAGAGCAATGCGTTTGAGCCATTGAGCGATGGGCAGGAAAAACTTGACTTTTTCTCCTGCCATGGGGGGGCGCTCTTTTGGGGAGTAAAAATTCCTTCACAAATGTGTTGATGGCTGGACATTGCATCATCCTAGAGAACTTGGAGGCCAGTGAGGACAAAAATAAAAAGTTATAAGACTTTTAAGACTGTGGATTTTTGGGTTATCTTTGGCGCCCCCTAGAACGTAAACCGTGGGGTGCAGCGTCATGATTTGTACAACTTTGAATGGACATGGGGTGTAGATTGACCTGAGCAAATTTGAAGCCGATGGGACAAAAGCTTTAGGAGGAGTTAGCCACATTCCAATGTGTGCGAATCGGCAAAAAATGCGAAATAACCCATTAACCGTACATTGAACAGATACGCTCGCATTGACTTTTTCGTAGATCTTATTGAGATACATGTGTGTGTCAAATTTTGTGTCATTTTGACAAAGCGTAAAGGCGTGACAGTCAACAATGTGTATTTTCGCCTTAGGAGACAAGAAAAAATGGACTTTTTTCTCCTGCCATGGGGGGGCGCTCTTTTGGCGAGTAAAAATTCCTTCACAAATGTGTTGATGGCTGGACATTGCATCATCCTAGAGAACTTGGAGGCCAGTGAGGACAAAAATAAAAAGTTATAAGACTTTTAAGACTGTGGATATTTGGGTTATCTTTGGCGCCCCCTAGAACGTAAACCGTGGGGTGCAGCATCATGATTTGTACAACTTTTAATGGCCATGGGGTGTAGATTGGCCTGAGCAAATTTGGTGCCGGTGGAACGAAAGCCTTCGGAGGAGTTAGCGAAATTCCAATGTGTGCGGATCGGCAAAAAATGCGAAACTAGGGCCCCGGTGGGGCACTGTCGGGCCCGAGCCGCGTCGCGCCGCCCCCAGCGCGACCGCCTCCCCCTCCCGATTGCATCACACTCAAGGTCCAAAGATGGTGTGCGCACTTGTCTGTGGTCATTTCCCATTATAATGAATGGGAGGCGCAGTTTCTACCAAAACGGCCGCTGCAGACAAACTACATGTCCTATTTGAAAAAAGTCTGGACCATGAGTGAGGGCACAAACACAGCTAGGATATATCCAAATGGCAAGTTGCTCCTCCTTACGGTGTTGCCGGGAGAGCGATGCGATTGAGCCATTGAGCGATGGGCAGGGTTAACTGGACTTTTTCTCCTGCCTTGGGGGGGGGGGGGGGTGGATTCTTTTAAGAATGTGGATATTTGGGTCATCTTTGGCGCCCCCTAGAACGTAAACCATGGGGTGCAGCGGCATGATTTTTACAACTTTGAATGGCCATGGGATGTAGATCGGCTTGAGCAAATTTGGTGTCGGTGGGAAGAAAGCCTTAGGAGGAGTTAGCCACATTCCAATGTGTGCGAATCGGCAAAAAATGCGAAATAGCCCTTTAACCGTACATTTTACAGATACGTGCCCATTGACTTTTTCGTAGATCTTATTGAGATACACGTGTGTGTCAAATTTTGTGTCATTTTGACAAAGCGTATAGGCGTGACAGTCAACAATGTGTTTTTTCACCTTAGGGGACAAGAAAAAATGGACTTTTTTCTCCTGCCATGGGGGGGCGCCCTTTTCGGGAGTAAAAATTCCTTTACAAATGTGTTGATGGCTGGACATTGCATCATCCTAGAAAACTTGGAGGCCAGTGAGGACAAAAATAAAAAGTTATAAGACTATTAAGAATGTGGATTTTTGGGTTATCTTTGGCGCCCCCTAGAACGTAAACCGTGGAGTGCAGCGTCATGATTTGAATAACTTTTAATGGCCATGGGGTGTAGATTGGCCTGAGCAAATTTGGTGGCGGTGGAACTAAAGCCTTCGGAGGAGTTAGCGAAATTCCAATGTGTGCGGATCGGCAAAAAATGCGAAATAACCCTCTAACCGTACATTTCACAGATGCGCCCGCACTGACTTTTTCGTAGACCGTATTGAGATACACGTGTGTGTCAATTTTTGTGTCAAAATGACAAAGCGTACAGGCGTGACAGTCAATAGTGTGAATTTTCGCCTTAGGGGGCGCTATGGAGCCATTTTGCATTTTATTGTTTGGGCGACTTCAGAATATCGAATTTTTCACCAGGCCCGGTCGTCCTGCCAAATTTCCTGAGTTTTCGCCAGTGGGAAGTGGGCCATTTTCCCCTTCAAAGGGGAGGAAAAATAAGAAGAAAGAAAGAAAGAAAGAAAGAAAGAAGAAAGAAAAACCTATACAGGAATAATAGGGCTCTACGCCCGGCTGCTCTGCAGCTGGCTCGGGTTCTTTTAAGAATGTGGATATTTGGGTCATCTTTGGCGCCCCCTAGAACGTAAACCGTGGGGTGCAGCGTCATGATTTTTACAACTTTGAATGGCCATGGGGTGTAAATTGGCCTGAGCAAATTTGGTGTCAGTGGGACGAAAGCCTTAGGAGGAGATAGCCACATTCCAATGTGTGCGAATCGGCAAAAAATGCAAAATAGCCCTTTAACCGTACATTTTACAGATACGCGCGCATTGACTTTTTCGTAGATCTTATTGAGATACATGTGATTGTCAAATTTTGTGTCAATATGACAAAGCGTACAGGTATGACAGTCAACAATGTGTTTTTTCACCTTATGGGACAAGAAAAAATTGACTTTTTTCTCCTGCCATGGGGGGGCGCTCTTTTGGGGAGTAAAAATTCCTTCACAAATGTGTTGATGGCTGGATATTGCATCATCCTAGAAAAATTGGAGGCCAGTGAGGGCAAAAATAAAAAGTTATAAGACTTTTAAATATGTGGATTTTAGGGTTATCTTTGGCGCCCCCTAGAACCTAAACCGTGGGGTGCAGCGTCATGATTTGAATAACTTTTAATGGCCATGGGGTGTAGATTGGCCTGAGCAAATGTGGTGCCGGTGGAACGAAAGCCTTCGGAGGAGTCAGCAAAATTCCAATGTGTGCGGATCAACAAAAAATGCGAAATAACCCTTTAACCGTACATTTGACAGATACGCCCGCACTGACTTTTTTGTAGATCTTATTGAGATACATGTGTGTGTCAATTTTTGTGTCATTTTGACAAAGCGTACAGGCGTTCTACAGGCGATTTCAGATTTTGCATTTTCTTGTTTGGGCGACTTCGTAATATCAAATTTTTCACCAGGCCTGGTCGTCCTGCCAAATTTCATGAGTTTTTGCCAGTGGGAAGTGGGCCATTTTCCAGTTCAAAGGGGAGGAAAAAGAAGAAAGAAAGAACTAGGGCCCCGTTGGGGCACTGGTGGGCCCGAGCTGACATAGTATACTATGTCGAAAATTTCAGATTTTAGGCTGAAAATAAAATTCTGATTTTAGGATGAAAAAACATGCCATAGTATTGTCTGATCAAATTGCCATAGAAACGGATGTTAAAACTGTAATATTTTAGCCGGAAAATGAAAAATTCATATTTTGGTCTGAAAAAAAAACGACATAGTATACTATGTCGAAAATTTCAGATTTTAGGCTGAAAATAAAATTCAGATTTTAGGATGAAAAAACATGCCATAGTATTGTCTGATCAAATTGCCATAGAAACGGATGTTAAAACTGTAATATTTTAGCCGGAAAATGAAAAATTCATATTTTGGTCCGAAAAAAAAACGACATAGTATACTATGTCGAAAATTTCAGATTTTAGGCTGAAAATAAAATTCAGATTTTAGGATGAAGAAACATGCCATAGTATTGTCTGATCAAATTGCCATAGAAACGGATGTTAAAACTGTAATATTTTAGCCGGAAAATGAAAAATTCATATTTTGGTCCGAAAAAAAAAACGACATAGTATACGGTGTCGAAAATTTCAGATTTTAGGCTGAAAATAAAATTCAGATTTTAGGATGAAAAAACATGCCATAGTATTGTCTGATCACATTGCCATAGAAACGGATGTTAAAAATGTAATATTTTAGCTGGAAAACGAAAAGTTCATATTTTGGTCCGAAAAAAAACGACATAGTAAACTATGTCGTAAATTTCAGATTTTAGGCTGAAAATAAAATTCAGATTTTTGGATGAAAAAACATGCCATAGTATTGTCTGATCAAATTGCCATAGAAACGGATGTTAAAAATGTAATATTTTAGCTGGAAAATGAAAAATTCATATTTTGGTCCGAAAAAAACGACATAGTATACTATGTCGAAAATTTCAGATTTTAGGCTGAAAATAAAATTCAGATTTAAGGATGAAAAAACATGCCATAGTATTGTCTGATCAAATTGCCATAGAAACGGATGTTAAAAATGTAATGTTTTAGCCGGAAAATGAAAAATTCATATTTTGGTCTGAAAAAAAAACGACATAGTATACTATGTCGAAAATTTCAGATTTTAGGCTGAAAATAAAATTCAGATTTTAGGATGAAAAAACATGCCATAGTATTGTCTGATCAAATTGCCATAGAAACGGATGTTAAAAATGTAATATTTTAGCTGGAAAATGAAAAATTCATATTTTGGTCCGAAAAAAAAACGACATAGTATACTATGTCGAAAATTTCAGATTTTAGGCTGAAAATAAAATTCAGATTTTAGGATGAAGAAACATGCCATAGTATTGTCTGATCACATTGCCATAGAAACGGATGTTAAAACTGTAATATTTTAGCCGGAAAATGAAAAATTCATATTTTGGTCCGAAAAAAAACGACATAGTATACTATGTCGAAAATTTCAGATTTTAGGCTGAAAATAAAATTCAGATTTTAGGATGAAAAAACATGCCATAGTATTGTCTGATCACATTGCCATAGAAACGGATGTTAAAAATGTAATAATTTAGCGGGAAAATGAAAAATTCATATTCTGGTCCGAAAAAAAACGACATAATAAACTATGTCGAAAATTTCAGATTTTAGGCTGAAAATAAAATTCAGATTTTAGGATGAAAAAACATGCCATAGTATTGTCTGATCACATTGCCATAGAAACGGATGTTAAAAATGTAATATTTTAGCCGGAAAACGAAAAATTCATATTTTGGTCCGAAAAAAAACGACATATGTCGAAAATTTCAGATTTTAGGCTGAAAATAAAATTCTGATTTTCGGATGAAAAAACATGCCATAGTATTGTCTGATCAAATTTCCATAGAAACGGATGTTAAAACTGTAATATTTTAGCCGGAAAATGAAAAATTCATATTTTGGTCCGAAAAAAAAACGACATAGTATACTATGTCGAAAATTTCAGATTTTAGGCTGAAAATAAAATTCAGATTTTAGGATGAAGAAACATGCCATAGTATTGTCTGATCAAATTGCCATAGAAACGGATGTTAAAACTGTAATATTTTAGCCGGAAAATGAAAAATTCATATTTTGGTCCGAAAAAAAAACGACATAGTATACGATGTCGAAAATTTCAGATTTTAGGCTGAAAATAAAATTCTGATTTTAGGATGAAAAAACATGCCATAGTATTGTCTGATCACATTGCCATAGAAACGGATGTTAAAAATGTAATATTTTAGCTGGAAAATGAAAAATTCATATTTTGGTCCGAAAAAAAACGACATAGTAAACTATGTCGAAAATTTCAGATTTTAGGCTGAAAATAAAATTCAGATTTTAGGATGAAAAAACATGCCATAGTATTGTCTGATCACATTGCCATAGAAACGGATGTTAAAAATGTAATATTTTAGCCGGAAAATGAAAAATTCATATTTTGGTCCGAAAAAAAACGACATAGTATACTATGTCGAAAATTTCAGATTTTAGGCTGAAAATAAAATTCAGATTTTAGGATGAAAAAACATGCCATAGTATTGTCTGATCACATTGCCATAGAAACGGATGTTAAAAATGTAATATTTTAGCCGGAAAACGAAAAATTCATATTTTGGTCCGAAAAAAAAAACGACATAGTATACTATGTCGAAAATTTCAGATTTTAGGCTGAAAATAAAATTCAGATTAAAGGATGAAAAAACATGCCATAGTATTGTCTGATCAAATTGCCATAGAAACGGATGTTAAAAATGTAATATTTTAGCCGGAAAATGAAAAATTCATATTTTGGTCCGAAAAAAAAAACCACATAGTATACTATGTCGAAAATTTCAGATTTAAGGCTGAAAATAAAATTCAGATTTAAGGATGAAAAAACATGCCATAGTATTGTATGATCATATTGCCATAGAAACGGATGTTAAAACTGTAATATTTTAGCCGGAAAATGAAAAATTCATATTTTGGTCCGAAAAAAAAACGACATAGTATACTATGTCGAAAATTTCAGATTTTAGGCTGAAAATAAAATTCAGATTTAAGGATGAAAAAACATGCCATAGTATTGTCTGATCAAATTGCCATAGAAACGGATGTTAAAAATGTAATGTTTTAGCCGGAAAATGAAAAATTCATATCTTGGTCCGAAAAAAAAAACCACATAGTATACTATGTCGAAAATTTCAGATTTTAGGCTGAAAATAAAATTCAGATTTTAGGATGAAAAAACATGCCATAGTATTGTCTGATCAAATTGCCATAGAAACGGATGTTAAAAATGTAATAATTTAGCGGGAAAATGAAAAATTCATATTTTGGTCCGAAATAAAAACCACATAGTATACTATGTCGAAAATTTCAGATTTTAGGCTGAAAATAAAATTCAGATTTTAGGATGAAAAAACATGCCATAGTATTGTCTGATCAAATTGCCATAGAAACGGATGTTAAAAATGTAATGTTTTAGCCGGAAAATGAAAAATTCATATCTTGGTCCGAAAAAAAAACCACATAGTATACTATGTCGAAAATTTCAGATTTTAGGCTGAAAATAAAATTCTGATTTTAGGATGAAAAAACATGCCATAGTATTGTCTGATCAAATTGCCATAGAAACGGATGTTAAAAATATAATATTTTAGCCGGAAAACGAAAAATTCATATTTTGGTCCGAAAAAAAACGACATAGTATACTGTGTCGAAAATTTCAGATTTTAGGCTGAAAATAAAATTCTGATTTTAGGATGAAAAAACATGCCATAGTATTGTCTGATCACATTGCCATAGAAACGGATGTTAAAAATGTAATATTTTAGCCGGAAAACGAAAAATTCATATTTTGGTCCGAAAAAAAACGACAAAGTATACTATGTCGAAAATTTCAGATTTTAGGCTGAAAATAAAATTCTGATTTTAGGATGAAAAAACATGCCATAGTATTGTCTGATCACATTGCCATAGAAACGGATGTTAAAACTGTAATATTTTAGCCGGAAAATGAAAAATTCATATTTTGGTCCGCAAAAAAAACGACATAGTATACTATGTCGAAAATTTCAGATTTTAGGCTGAAAATAAAATTCAGATTTTAGGATGAAAAAACATGCCATAGTATTGTCTGATCACATTGCCATAGAAACGGATGTTAAAAATGTAATATTTTAGCCGGAAAATGAAAAATTCATATTTTGGTCCGAAAAAAAACGACATAGTATACTATGTCGAAAATTACAGATTTTAGGCTGAAAATAAAATTCAGATTTTAGGATGAAAAAACATGCCATAGTATTGTCTGATCAAATTACCATAGAAACGGATGTTAAAACTGTAATATTTTAGCTGGAAAATGAAAAATTCATATTTTGGTCCGAAAAAAAAAACGACATTGTATACTATGTCAAAAATATCAGATTTGAGGCTGAAAATAAAATTCAGATTTTAGAATGAAAAAACATGCCATAGTATTGTCTGATCACATTGCCATAGAAACGGATGTTAAAAATGTAATATTTTAGCCGGAAAACGAAAAATTCATATTTTGGTCCGAAAAAAAACGACATAGTATACTATGTCAAAAATATCAGATTTGAGGCTGAAAATAAAATTCAGATTTTAGGATGAAAAAACATGCCATAGTATTTGTCTGATCAAATTGCCATAGTAACGGATGTTAAAACTGTAATATTTTAGCCGGAAAATGAAAAATTCATATTTTGGTCCGAAAAAAAAACGACATAGTATACTATGTCGAAAATTTCAGATTTTAGGCTGAAAATAAAATTCAGATTTTAGGATGAAAAAACACGCCGTGGTGTTGTCTGATCAAATTGCCATAGAAACGGATGTTAAAACTGTAATATTTTAGCCGGAAAATGAAAAATTCATATTTTGGTCTGAAAAAAAACGACGTAGTATACTATGGCGAAAATTTCAGATTTTAGGCTGAAAATAAAATTCTGATTTTAGGATGAAAAAACATGCCATAGTATTGTCTGATCAAATTGCCATAGAAACGGATGTTAAAAATGTAATATTTTAGCTGGAAAATGAAAAATTCATATTTTGGTCCGAAAAAAACGACATAGTATACTATGTCGAAAATTTCAGATTTTAGGCTGAAAATAAAATTCTGATTTTAGGATGAAAAAACATGCCATAGTATTGTCTGATCACATTGCCATAGAAACGGATGTTAAAAATGTAATAATTTAGCGGGAAAATGAAAAATTCATATTTTGGTCCGAAAAAAAAACGACATAGTATACTATCTCGAAAATTTCAGATTTTAGGCTGAAAATAAAATTCTGATTTTAGGATGAAAAAACATGCCATAGTATTGTCTGATCACATTGCCATAGAAACGGATGTTAAAAATGTAATAATTTAGCGGGAAAATGAAAAATTCATATTTTGGTCCGAAAAAAAAACGACATAGTATACTATCTCGAAAATTTCAGATTTTAGGCTGAAAATAAAATTCAATTTTTAAAATGAAAAAACATGCCATGTTATTGTCTGATCTAAATGACATAGATAAAGATGTTCAAAATGTCATATTTTAGCCTGAAAGAAAAAAATCATATTTTAGCCTGAAAAAAAACAACATAGTATACTATGACGAAAATTTCATATTTTAGAGTGAAAATAAAATTATGTTTTTAAAATGAAAAAACATGCCATAGTATTGTCTGATCAAACGACATCACAAAGGATGTTAAAAATATCATATTTTAGCCTGAAAAAAAAAACGATATAGTATACTATGACAGAAATATCAGATTTTACAATGAAAATAAAATTTAATTTTTAAAATGAAAAAACATGCCATGGTATTGTCTGAGCTAAATGACATAGATAAGGATGTTCAAAATGTCATATTTTAGCCTGAAAAAAACAAACTTTTTTTAGGCTGAAAAAAAAACGACATAGTATACTATGACGAAAATTTCACATTTTACAGTGAAAATTAAATTCTGTTTTTAAAATGAAAAAACATGCCATAGTATTGTCTGATCAAAATGACATCACAAAGGATATTAAAAATATCATATTTTAGCCTGAGAAAAAAAATCATATTTTAGCCTGAAAAAAAACGACAGAGTATACTATGACGAAAATTTCACATTTTACAGTGAAAATAAAATTGTTTTTAAAATGAAAAAACATGCCATGTTTTTTCATTTTAAGAAAGGGTTTAAAAACAGTTTTTTTATTTATTATTTGTCAGTGGCGGCTGCTGGTCTTTCAAGGACGGGAAGCTCATTTTTCTGGCCTACATCATAATTGTATTTGTTTATTAGTATGTAACAGAACAGAGTCGCCAAACACAACGGCAGTTGTTTTTAACAAAGACAAAAGTCGCTGAGGTTCGGTAAAGTCTCTGGAGCAGTTAAGAACAACGGAATGAATAACTTGGAAAATGCTCTTCTAGACGTTTTATTCTTCAAGATTGCTGATTCGCTTGTTTAGCTGTCAATCAAAAAAGGATTTCGCCTCAGACAGCTCATCCAATCATGGATGCAGAAGCTCGGAGTCCGGGAGAAAGTTGGGACCGCCCTCTCGCCATAGAACTCCAGTGAAGCTGGGCTTCCGATGGGCGGGACAAAGCCCAGCATTTATCCAATGAGCGTCTAGTTTCGCTGCTGGAACAACCCACTTTGAGCTTCCACATTGAAGTCAGCAGAAGCCCAGCGTCCAGCTGTTTAAAGCGCTGAGGAGCTGCGAGGATGAATGAGAACGAAGTCATGCAGAATCAGCTTCTTATCACACTGTGATAAGAAGCTGATTCTGAACAAAAGATGAAGGCTTTCTAGTGCGTATTTAGTTAATGAAATGTACACACAGCAGTACGTATTTCACCACTTTTTCTTTTTTTGGGGAGTGACATTTTAAGGGAAGCGGAGCTTCCCTTGCAGTCTTAGAGCAATCGCCACTGATATATATATTTATATATGTATATGTAAAACGCACACAGAGGTGTGCTTTATATATATATATATATACATATATATATATATGTATATATATATATTAGGGCTGTCAATATATATATATGTACATATATATATATGTGTACATATATATATATATATATATGTGTGCATGCGAGTGTTGTGGACTGGACCATAATATAAATATTTATATATATATATATATACATACACGGACACACACATACACA